CCAAGACGGCCCAAGAGGCCTCGAAGACGCCCAAGATGGCCTCTAAGACGGCCCTGGGGCACCCCAAGAGGGCCCCAAGTCGGCCCAGAAAGGCCCCCGAAACGGCTCCCGACGGCGTCAGACGGGCCAGAAGCCCACCAAGATGGCCGAAGGTGGCTCGCAGCTGGCCCAAGAAGGTCCAAGAGGCCGCCAAGAGGGCCTCCAGGAAGGCCAGAAAAGGTCAAAAACCTTATTTGTTTCTATGTTTTTTGACGGATGTTGACATTTGCTTCGTTTCGGCCTTCCGACGGCCCGAGACGGCCCAAGAGTCCACAAAGATCGCCGAAAGATCGCCCAAGAGGCCTCCAAGATGGCCCCAGAACGGCCCAAGAGGGCCCCAAGACGGCCCCAAGAGGCCCCCAAGACGGCACAGGAGGCCTTTAAGACGCCCAAGATAGCCTCCAAGACGGCCCTGGAGCGTTCCAAGAGGGCCCCAAGTCGGCCCATAGAGGCCACCCAAACGGCTTCCGACGGCGTCAGATGGACCAGGAGCCCACCAAGACGGCCGACCATGGCCCTAAGATGGCCCAAGACGGCCCAAGAGGCCTCCAAGAGGGCCTCCAGGAAGGCCCGAAAAGGCCAAAATCATTGATTTCCCATGGGCTTTTGAAGGAGTGTGGCATTTGCTTTTTTTCTGCCTTCCGACGGCCCGAGACGGCCCAAGTGCCCCCAAGACACGGCCCGTAGAGGCCCCCAAGACGGCCCAAGAGGTCTCCAAGACGCTCAAGATGGCCTCCAAGACGGTCCAAGAGCCCTCCAAGACGTCCTCCAAGAAAGCCCGAGAGGGTCAAAATGGCCTCCAGACGGCCAAGATGACCTTCAAGATGCCCACGTGTTCCCCGAAGTCTTTCCAAACCGATTCGGGGAACACATGGTCCGATAGCTTGGCAGGTCTGGCCTCAACGTTCGGACACATAGGCGCTTCCAAAAAAGGCAGGGGGCGTCTTCGATCCGCCGTAGGCGTCCGCCGCCCCCTTTTGATTCATCAAAGGGGTGCCTGGCGTGTTAAACCCTCTCGGTTTTGGTTTTGGTTCTTTTTCCAAAAGAACTCCCCCTGAGGCTCCGGCGCGTCCCGCTGGCCACCTGGAAGACCCGGTTGCCATCGCCAAAAACGGCCGTTTCGCCCGGGACATCCTCAAAAAATCGCGAGGATGGCCCAAGATGGCCAGCAAAATGCCTCCAAGACAGCCAAGATGGCCTCCAAGACGGCTAAGATGGCCCCAAGATGCATCCAAGACGGCCCAAGATGGCCCCAATATGGACTAAGACGGCCCAAAAGGCCCGCAAGAGGCCTCCAAGACGGCCCAAGAGGCCTCCAAGCGTTCCTCCAGGAAGGCCCGACGAAGCCATAATCATTGATTTTCCTAAGGTTTTTGAAGGACTTTGGCATTTGCGCCTTTTCGGCTTTCCGACGGCCCGTGACGGCCCCAGAGGCCGCCAAGGTCGCCCCAAACAAAAAAGAAAAAGAAAGAAAAAAACAAAAAAATAAAAAAGAAAAAAAAAAAAACAAAAAAAAATAAAACACATAAAAAAAAAAAAAAGAAAAAAAAAATAAAAAGAGAAAAAAAATCGCCAAAGAGGCCTCCAATGAAAAAAAAAGGGAAAACAAAGAAAAAAATGAAATGGCCCCATGACGGCCCAAGAGGCCCCCAAGACGGCCCCAAGAGGGCGCCAAGACGGCCCAAGAGGCCTCGAAGACGCCCAAGATGGCCTCTAAGACGGCCCTGGGGCACCCCAAGAGGGCCCCAAGTCGGCCCAGAAAGGCCCCCGAAACGGCTCCCGACGGCGTCAGACGGGCCAGAAGCCCACCAAGATGGCCGAAGGTGGCTCGCAGCTGGCCCAAGAAGGTCCAAGAGGCCGCCAAGAGGGCCTCCAGGAAGGCCAGAAAAGGTCAAAAACCTTATTTGTTTCTATGTTTTTTGACGGATGTTGACATTTGCTTCGTTTCGGCCTTCCGACGGCCCGAGACGGCCCAAGGTCTCCCAAAAATCGCCCAAGGATCGCCCAAGAGGCCTAGGCCCCCAAGACGGCCCAAGAGGTCTCCAAGACGCTCAAGATGGCCTCCAAGACGGCCCACGAGCCCTCCAAGACGTCCTCCAAGAAGACCCGAAAGAGTCAAAATGGTCTCCAGGCGGCCAAGATGACCTTCAAGATGCCCACGTGTTCCCCGAAGGCTTTCCAAACCGTTTCGGGGAACACATGGTCCGATGGCTTGGCAGGTCTGGCCTCCACATAGGCGCTTCCAAAAAAGGCAGGGGGCGGCGGTGATTCGCCGTAGGCGTCTTCGATCCGCCGCCCCCTGTCGATTCATCGCAAGGGGGACCTGGCGTGCCGAATCCTATTGGTTTTGGTTCTTTTCCAAAAGAACTCCACCTGGGCCTCCGGCGCGTCCCGCCGGCCACCCGGAAGACCCGGATGCAAACGGTTTTCCTGCCCCAGACGGCCCCAAGATGGCCTCCAAGACGGCCACGATGCCTCCAAGACGGCCAAGATGGCCTCCAAAACGGCTCAGATGGCCCCAAGATGCCTCCAAGACGGCCCAAGACTTACCCCAGTCGGCCTAAGACAGCCCGAAGATGGCCCAAGCCCAGAGGCCTCCAAGACGAGGCCTCCAAGAGGTCTTCCAGGAGGGCCCGAAGAGGCCAAAATCATTGATTCTCCTTAGATTTTTGAAGGATTATGGCATTTGCTTATTCTCGGCTTTCCGACGACCCATGACGGCCCAAGAGGCCCCCAAGATCGCCCAAAAGGTCCCCAAGAGGGCCCCATGACGGCCCAAGTGGCCTCCAAGACAGCCCCAAGAGGGCCCCAAGACGGCCCAAGAGGCCTCCAACACGCCCTAGATGGCCTCCAAGACGCCCAAGATGGCCTCTAAGACGGCCCCAAAGCGCCCCAAGAGGGCCCCAAGTCGGCCCAGAAAGGGCCCCAAGACGGCTCCTGACAGCGTCAGACGTGCCAGGAACCCACCAAGATGGCCGAAGTTGGCTCAAAGCTGGCCCAAGACGGCCCAAGAGGCCGCCAAGAGGGCCTCCAGGAAGGCCAGAAGAGGCCAAAAACATTGATGTTCCTAAGGTTTGGGACGGATGTTGAAATTTGCTTCTTTTCGGCCTTCCGACGGCCCGAGACGGCCCAAGAGTCCAAAGATCGACGAAAGATCGCCCAAGAGGCCTCCAAGATGGCCCCATGTCGGCCCAAGAGGGCCCCAAGACGGCCCTAAGAACAAGCAAAAAAAAAAGAAAACAGAAAAGAAAACAAAAAAAGAAAAGCAAGAAAAGAGACAAGAAGACAAGAATAGGAAAAAAAACAAAAACAAAAAGAAAAAGAAGAACAAGAAATGAGCACGAAAAAAAAAAAAAAAAGGGGCCCCCAACAAAACAGGAAAACAAAAATCCACCCAAAAGAAAAAAATACGAAAAAACAGAACACGAAAAGAAGAAAAAACCAAACAAAAAACAAAGAAATACGAAGAACAAGTATAAAAAAAAGATACGGCCAATGAAGCCGTCAAGACGCCCAAGATGGCCTCCAAGACGGCCCTGGAGCGTTCCAAGAGGGCCCCAAGTCGGCCCATAGAGGCCACCTAAACGGCTTCCGACGGCGTCAGACGGACCAGGAGCCCACCAAGACGGCCGACCATGGCCCTAAGATGGCCCAAGACAGCCCAAGAGGCCTCCAAGAGGGCCTCCAGGAAGGCCCGAAAAGGCCAAAATCATTGATATCCCATGGGTTTTTGAAGGAGTGTGGCATTTGTTTTTTTTCTGCCTTCCGACGGCCCGAGACGGCCCAAGTGCCCCCAAAGATCGCCCAAGAGGCCCAAGACACGGCCCCAAGAGGCCCCCAAGACGGCCCAAGAGGTCTCTAAGACGCTCAAGATGGCCTCCAAGACGGCCCAAGAGCCCTCCAAGACGTCCTCCAAGAAGGCCGAAAGGGTCAAAACGGTCTCCAGACGGCCAAGATGACCTTCAAGATGCCCACGTGTTCCCCGAAGGCTTTCCAAACCGATTCGGGGAACACATGGTCCGATAGCTTGGCAGGTCTGGCCTCAACGTTCGGCCACATAGGCGCTTCCAAAAAGGCAGGGGGTGGCGGTGATTCGCCGTAGGCGTCTTCGATCCGCCGCCCGCTGTTGGCTTGCCACAGAGGTGCCTGGCGTGCTGGCTGTCCTGATGCTTTGGCTCTCTGGTCACCAATGAAATCGGAGGCCCCACCCCCCTTCAAAGCAAGTTGGAACTCAGCTGGAAAAACATGTCTCGATCCGCCCCGTCGCGTGGAACACGCCTGCAATGGCCCCGCACAGGCCGCGCATTCACTCCTGGCTGCGGACGCGCGTGGAGCTTTCAATCATCCCCGCGCAATTCACTCAACGAATACGCTTTGCCCCCTCCCCAGTTGAGCCCACGGCCGTTGTGGCCGTAAGCCCTACCGCGGCGACAAGGTCCCCAGATCCCACGGCGGCGTCTAGTTGAAGACGGACTTCTCCAAAAACGAAAGATCCGTATTGAATTGAATTAAACGGGCGAATACAAACACAAGTTGCACCGCCTCCGAATCAAGAGACGGCCTGAACATCAATAGAGCAAGGCACTTCTAAATTCTCGAGGGCGGGGGGTGGGGCTCGAATTCAACTGGTGATTTTAGAACTCCCCCTGGGGCTCCGGCCCGTCCCGCCAGCCAACCGAAAGGCTGCTGAGCTGCAAAAAAAACGTCTCCAAGACCAAAATAGCCTCCAAGTTGGCCCAGGATGGTCCAAAACGGCCTCCGAGACGGCCCAAGAGGGTCCCAAATGCCTCCAAGTCCGCCCAATGAGTCACCCTGACGGCCCAAGATGGCCCCAGAGGCCCCCAAGAGGCCTCCAAGACGGCTCGAGAAGCCTCCAAGAGGTCCTCCAGGAGGGCTGGAAGAGGCCAAAATCATCAATTGTTATTAGGTTCTTGAAGGTGTCTAGATCCCGTCGCCCCAGCCTCGAGTTCTGCCAGGCCGAAGAACGCCCGCGCCGCCGCGCGGGTGTCCGCGCACAGCTCCACAACCTCGACGGTTGCGCGCGGCAGCGCGGCGGCGATCGTTCGCGGCACCGCCGCGCCGCCGCCGCCGAGCACGAGGACGCGGGGCCCCACGGCGCCTGGGCCCTGCGCCGCGCGCCAGGCCGCAGCCGCCAGCGCCAGGCCCCCGAGGTGCGACCCGAACTGCCCGAGCAGCGGGGGCAGGGCGGGCAGCGGCGGCGAGCGCGCGCCGACCTCGCAGATGGGGACAGCCTGGGACGGGGACGGGGACGAGGACGAGGACGAGGACGAGGACGAGGACGAGGAAGACGACGACGACGACGACGACGACGACGACGACGACGACGACGACGACGACGAAGGCAGCGGCGACGGCGGCGGCGGCGACGACAACGGCGAAGACGAGGACGAGGACGAGGACGACGACGACGACGACGACGAGGACGACGACGACGACGACGACGCCGACGACGAACGACGACGAAGAGACGACCGGCGGCGCGGCGGGGCGGCGGCGGCGGCGGGCGGCGGCGGCGGCGAAACGACGAGACGACGACGCGAGGACGACGACGACGACGACGACACGACGACGACGACGACGACGACGACGAGACGACGGCAGCGGCGACGGGCGCGGCGTGACGACAAACGGCGAGCACGAAGGACATACGACGACGCCTGGCCAAGACGACGACGACGAGGACAGACGCGACGGCGTCCGGCGACGGCGACGACGACGACGACGACGACCGACGACGACGGCTGCGCCGACGGCGGCGGCGGCGGCGATTACACGACGGCGACGAGGAGGACGAGGACGACGACGTTGACGCCTACGCCGACGCCGCAACGCCGCCGACGACGACGGACGGACGACGACGACGACGACGACGACGACGACGACGACGACGACGACGACGACGACGACGACGACGACGACGACGACGGCGGCGGCGGCGGCGGCGGCGGCGGCGGCGGCGGCGGCGGCGGCGGCGGCGGCGGCGGCGGCGGGCGCGACGACAACGGCGAGGACGAAGACGAGGACGACGACGAGGACGAAGACGACGACGACGACGTCGAGGACGACGACGAGGACGACGACGTCGACGACGCGGCGGCGGCGGCGGCCAGAGCGGCGCATCTGAGCATCTTGTAACCGATCCCTGTCTCTACTGGCGTGGCCTACGCCACACTGGCCGACGTACCCGCCTAGATGGGGATGTATGATTGATACGCCTGTTCCTTCGGGTTTCGCTGGGCCACTCCCCACTTGGGAGGGTAGGCTGGTGGGACTGAGACACCATGCTAGATTGGGAAGAAGATAAGATAAACGATGCTGAAGACCGGCACATGCAGATTGGGACGGGATAGGAGAAACGATGCTGGAGGTCGGCCCTTTTCCACCGCCACTGGACAGGCCCATCCTGGGCCCGGGAGCGGCGCCCGCGCCCTCCTGGCGTGGGTGGGGAGGCACGTGCGCCGCTGCTGGACCCAGGAGGGATCGGCCTGGCCAGGGGCAGTGCACACCATCGCTCTCATCGCCCGACAGCCGTTTGCGCAAGGCGCGGGTCTGGATTCTGCAGCAGCAGCCGCACGCAGTCTCCCGAGCCGGTGACGCAGTCCAGCACCGAGACGAGCTTGGTGCCGAAGACGAACCGTCTGCGCTCGTCGTCCCAGAGGTCCCGCTCGTACTCCTCCAGCAGGGACCGATCCACCTCCCCGAGCAGCTGGAAGGCCTCCTCGAACGTGGTGCCCTCCATGTCCGCGCCCGGCAGCACGGACATGCCTCGGCAGCGAGCCAGTGGGGAGCCGGGCCGGGGCGGCAGCCTTCCAGGAAGGCACCCACGCCCCGTACTGTCAACCCGTAGGAGAAGGACGCACGATCAGGATGCAGGGGCCTTGGGAGGCCACGTCGACACTTTGAGGAGCGGGGCGCGGCTGGCGAGAGCGGCCCAGGACGGGCCGAAGGGGGGAGGGCGCAAGGGTGACCTTGGAAAGCGGCTCTCATCCTCGCTGTGCGGGCTGACGCAAGAAGCCGTGGGGCGCGGGAGGCTCTCCTCACGGCACCCCCGCCTCCGTGGAAGGCTGCCTCCCATCCGTGGCCACCACGGAGCGCCGCCCCGTGCCGGCCAGGTAGCCGCGGCACGTCGGCGCCTGGCGGCTGCCAGGGAGGATGGCGGCGCCGCTGCTCCCGGGGGACCTCCCCGGGGGGCTGGGATTCCGAGGCGGATCCAGTCGTGGCGACGAGGGGCGGGCGGCGGCGTCGCCGCGGCCTCAGGATCTCGAGACGGACCTCCTCCTCCTCCTCCTCCTCCTCCTCCTCCTCCTCCTCCTCCTCCTCCTCCTCCTCCTCCTCCTCCTCCTCATGCTCCAGCCGTGGCGGCAGGACCTCGAGGCGGAGGTCTGGCCGTGACGACACGATCCACCTCCCCGGGCGCGCGGTGTCCTGATTGGGCCCGGCTGATCATCGCGAGTCGTTGTTTGACGGCGCTGGGGCCCCGCGAAAGTCCCCAGGAGGCAAGATAGGAAGAAGACCTTCCATGATGAATTCTGTTACGAGGCAAGCACGTCTGGGAGCCACATATTCCTCCTCCACCTCCTCCCCCTCATCCGCCATCCTGTCTATGTAACTAACTCCTCCCTGTCGCACCCCCCGACGTGTCGGTATGGCGGGCCGTCCGTTTCGCCTGAGACTGCCTCACAATGTATGATTCTGAAACTTGAAAATTGCAACCGCAAGGGTGGAGGGCGGGTCGTTGTCAAAGTGTTTGCTCGCCTGAGCGCCGCGCACATTCGTAGTAAAAGTGTGCAAAAGCTCCAAAGATGGAGGGAGGATCGTTTTCGTAATGACTCTCGGCTTAGCGCCGCGCACATTCGGCTAAACTAATTGCATCAGCTTTAAGGATGGGGAGCCACTGGTGTTCAACATGTGGTTTTCGCAGTAGCACCGAACGCATTCATCTTACAGATTTGAATCCCCTACAAGGATGGAGGCAGCTCCTTTTCAAAATGTGGCTCTCACATTGGCGCCGCACACGAACTTCTGAAAAGTTCGCCGCAGTGTCAAGACTTTGTATGGTTGAAGTCCCTGGAAGTGTGTTGTGACACGACGTAGGATTGTCAAGACGCAGCAGTCACGTTAACTCGGGGCATTGAAGTCCCAGGAATGGCGGTCTGGCACGGTTTAGGGCTGTCAAGACGCAGCGGTAACGTTGAGTCGCGGCGCTGCAGTTCTGGAAATGGACTTTCGGCACGAATGGGGATTCTCTAACGGTTGTCGTCAAGTGGGGCACTTCCCGCAGTGAAAACAAATTATTGCAGGAGGCTCTGATGGGGGAGCTTGGAGAAAACGTTAATTGCCACATCGCTGACGCGTCCTCTGTTTGCACTGGTCGCTCCTCCTCCTCCTCCTCCTCCTCCTCCTCCTCCTCCTCCTCCTCCTCATCCTCATCATCCTCATCATCCTCATCCTCATCCTCATCCTCATCATCATCATCATCATCATCATCATCAGCATCATCATCATCATCATCATCATCATCATCATCATCAT